GGGAAGAAATCAGACATATTCACTGGGCAAATGTGCTGCAAAAGACCTCTTTATTTTATTTTTTGTTGCAAAAGATCTCTTTAATGTCACTTTGAAGACTAAGGTGTGCCTAACACAAGTCATGAAATTTTAGTCACCTCATATACATGTGAAAGCTGGACAATGAATAAGGAAGACTGAAGAAGAGTCAATGCCTTTGAATTGTGGTGTTGGCAAAGAACACTGAAAATACCATGGACTGCCAGAAGAACGAACAAATCTGTCCTGGAAAATTTGTCTTGCAGTCAGAATGGCCAGACTTCATCTCACCTGCTTTGTTCATGTTGTTGGAAGGGACAAGTCCCTCAAGGAGGATATCGTATTTGGTAACGTAGAGGGTCAAAAGGGGAAAATCCTCAACGAGATGGACTGATACCGTGGCTACAACAATGGGCACAGGTATAGCAAGGGTTATGAGGCTGGCACAGGCCCTCACAGTGTTTTGTTCTGTTGCTCATGGGGTCGCTGTGAGTCAGAGCTGGCTCAACTGCATCTAACAACAACTACTAAAGCAGGTAGACAATCTCAAAATAAAAACAAATCCCGAAGTTTCAGTACTTTTACCTATTGAGAAAGTCAACCCGTCCTTATTTTCTCATCTTGCTGTGGGCTAGTGGGATAGTCATCACAGACTGGATTTTGTGCACCAGGGAGTCTTAGAAAAAGTACAGACACAAGCCCCAGGTGGAGGTCTGGGTCCCAAGCCAGGCACTTAGGGCTGTCATGGCCTTGGCAAAGCCGCCTCATCTTCCTAACACCCAATTTCTGGTTGAGAACTCAGAAGGTTATCTGTGCAAAGCCTGTGTTAGGGATCCAATGAATGTTCGTTGAATGAATTTCTGTTGTACTTCAGGTCCACGATTCCTTAGCCATAAATGCAAAATCAAAACAGCTAGGAAAACAGAAGTGTTTTTCTTAAATTTGGTGCAAATTCATTTGGCTAGGAAATCTGACAGGAGGCTATTTTATAGTAAATGGTTTGCTCTCAACTACTGACATAAAGGTTGGTGGTTCAAACCGACCCAGTGGTACCATGGAAGAAAGGTCTGGATATCTGCTTCTGAGGTGCAGTGAATTACTTGGTATGGCTTTTCTGGCCATAGTCTTTGTGACTCCCACCGGATTACTAGGTGGGACCATGCAAATAAGGTGTGGAGAACTTTGATGTTGGCATTGGTTAGTTTTGTTACTCTGCCAGGTTTAAAATGAGCCCTTCTAGAGGCAGAGAGGGGGATCTCACTGCCATCAAAAAAGAAGAGCTGGGACTCACCAGCCGCCCTTCAGCTGGGGCTGTGGGGCCACGGGATCCCAAGCTTGCCCTCTGAGATAGAGCAGCCGACATGGCCAAGTACCTGGCCCAGAGCATCATGATGGGCATGCAGGTGGTGGGCAGGGCCTTTGCCAGGGCCCTATGGCGGGACTTTGCTGCCAGCCGGGCAGCAGCTGATGCCCAGGGATGTGCTAGCCCTTAGTGTGCTGCTGCCTCCAACCTCTCTGGCCTCAGCCTGTAGGAGGCCCAGGAGATTCTCAACGTCTGCAGGCTAAGCCCTGAGAGGATCCAGAAGAACTACAAACATTTGTTCAAGGTGAAGGACAAGTCTGTGGGCGGTTCCTTCCACCTGCAGTCCAAGGTGGTCTGCGTGAAGGAACGCCTCAACCAGGACCTCAAAATCCAGGCCAAGGGGAACAGAGAGAAGGAGCAGGCACCTAGGATGGGACCACCATGCTCCCCGCCCCTCCCCCCGCCCCTCTAATTATAGCTTGTAATAAATGCCCCTCCTGCCAGCCTCATGCCTGGAGCTGGGTTTGGCAAAATAAAAGAGAGAGAAGAGCTGGAGGTGAAGTAGAGCGTATCCTTGGACCTGAGATCTCAGTGCCGGGCCTCGTTGGCTGAGAGACACCCTGGCAGAGAGATGGCTGCGGTGGAACCAAGAGGCATGAGACAGAGCGGGAGGCTCACCCGGCCCACGGAGCGAGAAAGCTGAGTGCCCTTGGGTAGGAGGCTAGATGAGCCTGGGGTGCACCTGGGTGTTATGTATCGGCAGAGCTAAAAGAGCTTTGTAACACTTGCCTGAGCAGGGCAGAGGCCAGGCTGAGAGGCCGAGGGCCAGAGAGGTGTGTCTGAGG